ACTTCCACGTGATTTCTGTGCGGTAGGTCTCTACGTGACATACTTAGTGGAAACCTCATAGAAAGCGGTGAGTGTACAAAGCTGTGTTCAAAGTGATTGAAATTTTGGTTTGGAGTTTCTTTGTTTGGTTATGGAGGCGTCTGGCCGAGTGAGTTGCTATCAACTTGACCTTTCCAGGCTCTGAAGAAGGCGAAATCCGCCGAAGCGTCAGCTTAATCGTGAACAAAGAATAGTAACACCTCGCGTTTGCTCAACAAAAATACGAAGAAAATCCAATGGAGAGTGCCATAACGAAACAAACCACATAATAGCAAATCGAAGGCTCTGCTTAACCGATATCGTTGTTGTCCCAAGATTCTACACGGAATTGGTCTATCACCTCCTTCATGCAGGATTTAATTTCACACAGAAAGGAGAAAAAACCGCCAAATTGAAAAAACGAAGTCTCAAAGCCACTACAAATTGGGATTTATTCATTTCATTAGTCGGTGATTGGGAAAATGCCGTTCTTGCTAACATCGAGGAAAAATGCGAGCGACTAATTCAACATCTTCACGTCAGCGCTGTAAAATGTGAGAGTTCGAAAGTCTCCAACAGAAGTCTGTTTCCAGAACCACTCGAACTGACATGCCGACACGTCAATGTGGAATCAAACAAGATAGAAGAAATTAACAATTCATCATCCAAACATGCAAAACAATGCACAAAGGCGATAAAACATCTTAAAGAAAGAAAAGAAATAGTTATGGTTGAAGGTGCATAGGCTGGTAAAAGCATTCGCAAAGCTCGCCAAGCTTTGCCAAATAGAAAATTAAGGTAACTGCACTCCCACGCAGAGCAGTCACAACTTTCAGAAAATGTATGGAGAAAATCCTCCACGATTACTATTTGGTTCTCTTCAATAGCAAGGCTCTCCTGTCCTCATAGGAAATGAAGGCGGATCAATATGTCGTGCCACCAGTTCTCCCTTTCGAAATCTGACAAGCTATTTCGCCAGTGAAGAACAGAACAAATCCAGGTCCGGACAGGACAACATCTGAACACCTGAAGAACCTTCCGCCAGTTCTCATAAACACGCTGGCTCGGCTCTTCACATGTTACGTGTCTGAATGCAAGGTTCTTCATCAGTGGAAGAGCAGTAAGACCGCACAAAACCGTCGTTCGAGAAAGGTGAACCCAAAGATATTGGAAACTATCGCCACTCTGCTTTCTGTCTCCCGTCTACAAAGCTTTACCTGGATTCATCCTAAACAGGATTGACAGAACACTGGACGAAGGACAACCATGTGAGCAAGCAGGATTTCGGAAAGGATTCAGCAACAACTACCACATCCACACAGTCACCGAAGTATCGCGAAAACAGAAGAGACCGCTTTTTCACTTTCATCGACTTAAAGAAGCTTTCAACTCAGATGAGATAGAAGCTGGCATGGAAGCCTTAGTCAGCCTGGGAGTACTCGGTAAATAAATATTCTTGGTGAGCTACATAAAAATTGCACAACCGAGATATCCCCATTACAACGAAATTAAGTCGATGTCAAAAGTAGGGTTGGGCAAGGCAATGCCATCTCGCTAAAATAATTAATCGGCAGCCTCAAGATCGCCATGAAAACACTGGAATGAGTCAACATGCAAGCGGAAATTGATGGTAAGCAATTACACCACCTTCGCTTTGCTGATGACACCGTTCTTGGATAGTTTGACGGCCCGTCTTCATTGGTTGTGTGGACCCAGCATAATTTCCATTCCCCGGAGATTCGATGGTTTAGCCAGGCCAAAGCCTGCCCTGTTCGTCACCACCATAGGCAGTCGCAGCCCATGTGGAACAGAGGGAGACTTGCCATCATGCGACTAGTCTGATACCAGGACGGTGGTGGAACCTGGTATTGGTTTTCTCATAGCTAGGCTTCCTGATGGAAACGGTGGGCTCCATCTCAGCTTGGGAGTCCCTGACGGGGAAATGAATCCTTTCGCTGCACACCGCAGCCCGACATCCAAGAACACCCAGCCACGAGGCGTTAATCCGTTGGGAGGCATATCGTTCTTATAACAGCAAACACTAGCCAAGCGGAGCGATTGATTACTGACTTTGATAAAGCCTGTGGAAAGATTCGCCTTTGACTAAACCTCACAAGGATGACGTCCATGAGGAACAGATTGGTTACGTGTGCCTAATTCACCTCAACGGAGTGAATATATCCGAATGCACTAGTTGTCTCTATCTAGATCGGAAATCATGATTATGAACGACACAGCTCCAGAGCTGAGTACGAGGGAGCGAACGGCATGGGAAGCTTTCAAGAGCATCGATAATGTTGTGAAGAGAACAAAGAAAATCCGACTCCGAGCCCTCTTTTTCGACCCTTTGGACGCTATAACTGTTCTGTCCGGGCGTCGTAGTGCAACCATAATGGTTTTGCAAATGGCGAAGCTTCGGTGGATTTCGCTAATGCATTTGCCAGCCTCTGATGTTTCGACCATAATTTCGGCTTTTCTCTCATTGAAATCTTCCTCTGTGTGCATTGCAAATACAGATCATCGCCTTAGTCCTTTGCGATTTAGGCAGCTTCGAATGGCGCTGAGGTTTTTGCACACTCTCAGTACGCGTCCTATCCAACGTTGCCGAATCGGTAGATCTTTCGGGGTCAGGGCAATGAGACCTGTCTAATTTACCGTTTGGTTATTTCATACCCACGATGGCTTTCTGAGCTTAGAACGTGGAGGCTTGGTAACTCACGGGTAGCTTGCTAACCGGATTGACTGGTAGAACACAACCCGCACAAGCGAGACACACCTACGCACGCATACGAGAATACTTATTCGTAAATACAGAAGGTACGTACCAAATTAACGCAGCAGGAGCAGGGAGGCCATCCCCAGGATCCACCTGCGTCCCAGGGAAACTGCGATTGCTTTTTCCTGCGACTAACTTCCTATTTGCCACCTGGGGGCGCCTAACGTTGTCTCGTGACTAAACGGCATGAAATCCCTCATATGCGAGAGATCAGTGGCAATAATGAAGAGATGCTCAAAATTCGCGGAACGGAAGTTTCATTTGTTGACGGCAGTGCTAGCTTGACAGTATACCTTCACGCTCAGAAACTTACAGAAGCATTGCAAAGCTCAATAAGATGCAAAATTCTGTTACTTCCAATAAAAAATGTCCTACAAGTTTAAATAAGGTTCCTCACGACTCTATTTCGCACTAACCATAGAGTAATACCAGCTTAGAAAAAAATCGCATAGATAGCGCACCATGTTGTTGACCGCGAATGGTTGTGGAAAAGAGGATGGTGTACAGATGGAGCTTTCTTCAATTTGGACATTTCCGCATCTCGAAAATGATTCCAGCCAACGGTCGATCTCGAATGGTGATGAAATGTGCAACTCTATATCGCCTAAAACGTATGAAACTATTATCCACTGTCTTTCCTGGTGAACAAACACGACGTTGGTATTGTAGCATTCATTAATACAGAATAACTGACGTTTCAGCATTTTTGCCTTCTTCAGAACCTGGAAAGCTCAAATTGATGAACGATCTGCTGTTAATTTGACCATTACAAGCTCTGAAGAAAGAGAAACCACCGAAATATCAGCTATTGCGTATTAACAAATGATGTAATACCAATACTTTTCTTGATCATCAAGAAAGACAGTGAATTAGTGATCAATGCCTTAAAGAGCACAAAAAAGAGCGAGTTCGAACAGGCGTGCTCAAATGAAAGCATACCAACTACAAGACCAATCCTATTGTCCAGACAACGGATCTGAAGACCGTTTGTAGGAATCTTCTTCAGCAATTTGTACGAATTAACGTCCATCGTAATCTCAAGAACAATCAGCAACTTTGAAAACAGCGCTAGACACCTGAAACAGATTAGAAAATACATGCGTAAAATAATCAATAAGATACAAATCACACTCATCCTTACTAGCCTGTCAGTACAAACGCCGTCGCATACCACTGGAACCACACTAACATAAAGTATACGACCTCGTTGTTCAAATGTGGCCCATCCTTCTACTTGGCCAGTATAAAGAAGCTCAAGCTGCAGTTCCTTCTGCTTACGTGCAGCTTCACACAAAGTCTTGAACCAAAGTTTAGTAAATAAAGACACGCTCCTTTTCAAATAATAGTAGAATACTACCTTCATCTCCTTAAACACAGCACAAGAACGTTGGACGTCTCCACGATCAATATGGCCCTCCTGAAAAATATTATTTAGATCGGAGTGATAGGACATTACTAGCGGAAGACGACACCACTAATAGAAAACCATTTAAGACAACAAATGGTGATCTGGATTCCACATGCAATATTTTTAGTGCGACAAAAACTGCGTCACGTTTGATATGGTGAGAACACGTTTGACGGTATTTAATTCATTCCATTACATAGTAGTTTAGAATATGAATGCATGGAAATAGAAACATGTCAAATAAACATGCACAAAACAGTTTTACCGGCATGTTCCTTTCTAATTCTTGTAACACACTCGGATATTTATCCAAATGTCTAAACGGTTCGCTTAGACCAGTGATTAAACTCTGAACATCTCTCCCACGTTCCATTAGTACAATTTTGATCGCATCCCTAAATAACATGAACTGAGTATTAACTTAATCCAATATGAACTATTCTCGATAGGATGTTTAATATTTCCATAGTGGAACACTGAACTCTAATTTCGAGATAGCTGTCAATGAAATATATTGCCAGCGGTCATAACATAAAACCCCTAATAAAATTCTCGGCGTTGATGAATATTTTAGGGTGCGCCACGCATTCAACTTCATTAAGCACCGTTTGAAGATGATTGAATGCATATCTGGCCTACACAGTGGTTCGCGGTGACCTACCGATGTATCGAACCAGTGCTGTTATCCTTCCAGACAAGTCTGGTAATAATTTGCTGACCCCGGAGGGATGGAAGCCTTAGTGGGTCTAGGGCGCTGGAATCGACACCATGTGTGTATCGCAGGATGCCTCCGATCATTGCGTCACACGTGCTCTTGTCATAATATAAGAAATATAAGAAAATATAACAAAATGTAATATAAAAAATGAATATTAGACCGCTGTGTTAGAAAATTAATTGAACGCAAACATCGAAGAAGAGCGTCCACCTCAATGGGAAAAAAAATTTTAACAGTCACTTGACACTTGAAAGCAAACATAAAAACAACCGAACAACCTATGTGAACAAAAAACTTACATTTTCTCGTTTAAAACTTCCACTGCTTTCGGATGATTTTCGCAGTAAGCAATGAGTAGTTTTTTTAGTTCAGCAGCAGATGATAAGAGAACTCCACCTATTCGTTGCTGCGAAACATCTAATCTAAAACTTGGCATTAGTTTCGAGAAATACTATTTGCCCTAAATGAGAAAAACTGCGAAATACCTGAACGTTTCTCTTAGACGAAACAGTGTGTTGCTTTGAAGAGCAGCGATATCTTCAATGTAACATGAAAAAATCGCATAATCTTCTTGAGATAGACTGAAAAGGCAGCAGTGAAAACCTGACATAAAGAGGAACCACCAAATGTGAAGATATATCTAAAAAGTTACGCTGATCTCCTGAAAACTATTCTTAAAAGACGAAATCTTTAGAAACAAATACAAAATAGTATGAAAGAGGCTAACATGGCCGCTCTACGGATTGGTAACAACAGCTCTTGGTGAGTTCCATGTACACTGGCAACATAATCCTTCTCCGCCCGAATGAAATCTCGTATGATTTCGAGACGAAACTGTGTCCGAGCAGCGTTAGAGTTCACCACATCACCACAGACTGCAACCTGGCAGAGTGTAATGACTAACGATTAAACGAAGATTCTGTAGGCTTGACAGGTTCTTCCTATCAAATACACATTGCTGAAATCTATAGGACTGGATCGTACTTACCTACTTGGATGGCCCGACTTCGTGCCCCAGCATCATTTCCACTTTTTTCGGAGTTTTGCTGGCTTAGCCACTGTGGTTCCATGAAGTCTCGAGCTCAGCCTAGCTAAACTCTGCCTCTGGTCGTTACCACCACAGGCAGTCGTCGTCTTTGTGGATCAGGGGCTTTGACACCATGCGACTAGTTTGGTACCAGGACGGTGTTGGATCCTGGTATTGGTTCACTCTTAGCAGGGCTTCCTGATGTAAACGCCGGGCTCTTTCTCACCTTGGAAGACCTTGTTAGGAGTATGAATCCCTCGCTGTACATCGCAGCCGGACACCCAGGAACAACTGCTGCCACGATAAGGCGATAAACCATTGAGAGACAAATGGATCATATAAAAGCCAACTGCATACCTGGTACTCCATTCGAAGAACTGACACCATTCGCCAAAGCAGTGGCATTTGGAACGGATCTCGATCTCATGAGCTTATCTTAAATCAGCATTAAACATACAAAGGAATTCAGAGTGAGGATTTGAGCTCAATAACCACCTTTTTCCGTAATCACACAGGCATAATTTGCAGGAAACCATCCTGTTTTACCATTAATTGTACCTTCCCACCACCCTCCTTCTACCTGCTGGGTAACAGTTATCATATCATTCTTGAAGAAGGTCAACTTAAAGAAGAAGTTATAGAAGACGTAAATTCAACAGAAAAACAAACATAAACAGCAATTTTACCACTAACTTCGTCGTTATTTTTGCCCTCGAAGTTAAATTTAGCCTTTGCAACAACAACAGAAGGTTCCGAATATTGATTATTCACCACTCCGGCTTCACTCATCACCAGTGCTTAAAACAGAGCAAATCGGAGACCGTGATCTACGGCTCCAACTTCTAATGGAGGAGTAAAGTAACCCGAAAACTAGTAGAGACTTAAGTAAGTAAAGCCCACATTAGTATTTTATCAGGACTAAGACGAACGAGAATGCTCTCAGCACTCATTAAAACATGAGTGCCTCAACGGTTGTGTACAATGTCCCTAGCGCAATCGCCGGCACACTGGAGCACGTTAACCGTGTGATTGCCTTGTACTTCTCCTTAAATATCCCTAAGGTTGTAACATTAATATCCCTAGTAGTTCCTAAGAGTGTAACTCAGTATTATTGTTTTGCCCCGCACTACTTTCACTAAACCAGTACAATACCTTCAATTTATGAGTAATTTGATGAAAACTGTATATCGTCGAGGAATTACACAAACATCGTAGCTCATTTCTCTTCAATTTCTTTCTTAAAAATGCTAACTTGCGAGCAGATTTAGTAAATATCGGCAGCAGTCATAAGTAGTAACCTTTTCCAGACCCAGAGGAATAACTAGTTCTTGGTTTTCATCATTCATAAGTGCTTCCTCTGCCCGTTGTCCTCAAAACCTCAAGGAACGTCGGTGAATATCGAAAATTTGGCTTTCGGTTAAAGGTTTAAGTGCCTAATCATGTAACGAAGTATGTCGTTTTAGTATGGGATGTCCTTTATTGATTGATTTGTTGGTTGATTGATTGATTTGATGCGTTTTAGTTACCCATCCCTTTTAGAACAATTTCTTTGCGTTTCTTCTCCTCTCAAACAAAATCGATCGTTAAGAAAACTTACATTTATTTCTTTCCTTCTTACAAATCATTCATGAGAGCTTTAGAGCTCTTAACTCTTCATATGATTGTTCTGTTTAGTACTGAACATTCGCCGAACTATCAGATTACAGCCACGTTTCACGCACGTCGCGTCACCCAATGAATTCTGTCCCTTTCTAGCCGAAGTGAGTCCTTTTCTCCCATCTGTTGTTCAACACCAGACATTTTTTGACCTCTCTAATCAATATTACAGATGAGATTGTTAGGTAATGCCGGTTTTGGGGCCACAGTGCTTCTGGGAATTGAAGAAGGTCGTCGAACGTGTGCAAATGGCTTGCCTATCATCCCATCCAGCATTCGGATGCTAGGTCGATTCGAAAAAATCAAAAGTGTAGAGCATCCGTCACTCTGTAGCTACATAGAACTTATACGATGCACTTTAGGTAGGTTTTTGAGAAGTTTCAATATCAATAGAATACTTACTTAGTTGAAAACTTGTATGGCCCGTCCTCACTGGTTTTGCGTGCTCCAGCATAGTCTCCATTTTTTCGGAGTTTTCCTAGTTTAGTCATTGTAGTTCCCTGGAGTTCCAAGGTCAGCCAGGCCAAAGTCTGCTCCAGGTTTCCACCATCATAGGCAGTCGCTGCCTTTGTTAATCAGGAAATTTGCCATCATGCGAATAGTTTGGTACCGAGACAGTGATAAATTCTGGTCTTGGTTTACTCCTAACTGGACTTCTTGATCGAAACACCGGTCTCTTTCTCAGCTTGGGAGATCCTACCGGGAGATGAATACCCCTCTGTACATCGCAGTGCGACACTTAGGAGCACCTGCCAGCCACGATGAAGCGGCACACCGTTGGGAAGTAGAATCAATAGGATGCTAGTACTGTTATCGAATTCTAGTATAGTTTAGTAGTGAAACTGGTAACAACAGAATTTTTAGTAATTGCGCATCTCTTTTACTTTATAGGGCTCATAAAAACTCTGAAAATGCTCCCGGCGTTGATCAATCCCTGAGGGATGCGCCATGCATTTGACTTCATTAAGGATCATTGGAGGTGACTGAGTGCGTATCTGGCCTACACAGTGGTTCGCGGTGACCTACCGATGTTTCGAGCCAGTGCTACTATCCTCTCTGACAAGTCTGGTACCAATTTGCCGACCCCGGAAGGGTATGGAACCTGGGGTGCGGTTATCGTTCCCATGTGTATTGCAGGACGCTTCCGACCACTCCGCTACACGCGCCCATATACTTACGACCATGGGGCTCATACGTTGGGAAAATAAAGGCCGCTTAGAACTTTTTTAAGGAACATGTCTCAGTTCATATTGAATATTTTTAATTGCAATAGAAGTTTTTACGGTCTACAGATCGTTGACTACAAATACAAGTTCTTTGCTTCGCTATAATATAGTTTTGATGTTCTGGTGCACACTGAACGTTTTCCCACTTCATTTGAACGACATATCTGAATTTTGAACCCGAAAGCGATTGACAAATCGAAATTTCACATAGTGGTGTTCCCCAATGTGTCACCGCTTTTTGCGCATGTTGCGGCAGCATGGGAGTTTCTAAGTATTGGCATTCCTTTAACATGTTTTTACTTGGAATTTTATATGTAGCCCAACTTGAAATTGAAAGGATATTGTATAGGAACTATATGTTCCCTTGTGCTCTGGTACGAACCCCACCTCGCGTTCCACAAGCCTCTCATCACTCTGGGCTCGGGAACTTGCTACTGGACTTGTCCGCGAAAAAATCACTTTGGAATGCAGCTGTGAACCCTTTACCTCGGCTAGCCCAGGACTTCAGCGAGAATCAACTCAGCCAGCATTCAACCACATTCAAGATGAAAGGAAAATTCTCAAGCAGCGGCCGAAGCTACACGTAATAGCTTGGAAGGCATTCATAGATAATGAATGCGAGGAAACGATTCGAATGTGTGGAGTGCTAAGGTCCGCACTGTAGATGTGAAATACGGGTTGTATAAAATAAAAAAGAAACCTGTTTCTTTGGAATAATAGAACAAAGGCTACTCTAAAGGCTTGTGAAATTATGGACTGCTTGTCCTTCCATGAAAGCATGAATTGCCGTTTATTGTCGAGAAAATAACCTCGTCGCGCAGGAGGCAAGTACATACGAATACGTAGTGGATACAAAACAATACGATATCGCTATACGACGAGTAGGGGATTCGCGCTAGAATTTCATATCATCCTTCATCTTTCGGGTTACGCAAAAGTATTTCTTTGTATTAATCTCAGGATGTCGTATCATCGGCTGATATTTTTCTTGTCCTCATTGTTATAAAAGAAAGGATGTATCTGCACTGACTGTTTGAAGTCCAGATAAAAGAGGACAAGAAAAGACCTTTTCACGTGACTACACGTTCGTTCTGCGCGTGTGGCGCAGTGATAGGAGGCGCCCTGTAGTGCACATGGGATAGATCCCCGCACCCCTGGCTCACCAAGCCTCTGGGGCTGGCAGATTAGTACCATACTTGTCTGTGAGGATAACAGCACTGGCTGAATGCATCGATCAGCTATGACGAGTAATTGTAAAGGCCAGATAAGCATTCAATCAACTCCAAACCATGCTTGTTGAAGTTGAATGTATGGCGCATCCCTCAGGGATTGGTCAAAGCGAGAGCTTTATCCTTAATCCTTTTACATGTTCATTTTCCACAACTGTCTACTAAGTTGCTAGAAGTCTCCTCGTCTTTCATGTTGAATGTCTCTGGATCTGGTTGAATTGTCTCCAACTGGGGAGATTATACCTTTTATGTGATTACAAAGTGTGAGAAAGAGTTCGGAATTTCCACCTCTAAAACCTTAGATTAAATTAGTGCGAAGACTCCTTACCGTTCTCAAGGTGATTCACTCGCAGTTCTAGCACAGGCAACCCTGCTATTCACAATGGTAGGTCCTTGTTGGACCCATAATGCAAGAGTTTTGGCAAAGTCCTCCATTCTTTGTGGAGATGGACCGTTTAAGTATCTAAGTACATTTACATTTGATCGATAGTTAGAGTCGTCTTCCGGTTCCCTCACGGTTTGGGATATATGAGTTCGTTTTGTCCCAAAATATAAATTTCACATATGCTACTTTTTCAAATATTGGTGGCCTGTCGCTGAATACAATGTCCTTAGTATGAGGGTTTTAATTCAGTTTTTGTTCCAGTCCCAAACGCGGTCATACTGATTTCTGAGCATTATAATTGTTCTATTTCGTCGCTGATATCAACAAGAAGGTGAATTTTTTGATTTTTTGTTATATATTTCTTCACGTTTCAGTTTCTATTTCATCCGTAGCCTCCTAACAGTTTATCGCCTCATTGTGGCTGGGAGGTATTCCAGGGTGTCGGGCTGCGATTTACAGTGGGGAAATTCATCCCCTCAGCAGGGTATCCCAAGCTGAGGAGTCCGGCGTTTCCATCAGGAAACCTAACTAAGAGCAAACGAATATCGGGATCCACCACAGTCCTGGTATCAAACTAGCAGCATGGTGACAATTCTTCTGATCCAGAAGGGCGGCGACTGCTTGTGGTGGTGACCACTTGGGGCAGACTTTGGCCAAGCTGACCTCAGGATTCCAGGGAACAACAACGGCTAAACCAGCAAAACTCCGAAAAGATTGAAATTATGCTGGACCGCGCACAACCAGTAAAGATGGACCATCCAAATATTTAATTATACGCTTGAAAGTTCGTTTAAACGCGAAAGTCGTTGAAATACTAGGTGTTCGCTATTAACAACCTTGCATGGTCAGCCCTTCCTTACCTCTGTATGCCGATAACTCCGTTCGCCTAAACTTCGGTTGTTAGTAGTACCTGTTAGGACTAATGTATATGTTGTTTATTCCATCCACTTGTATATCGTTGTTGTGAAGTTTCATGCATTTTTTCTTTGAAGGTTCTTTTATTCAGAATGTCTGAAAAGGAAATTCTTCATGTCACTTCGCAAGTGGTTCAGGGAGTCTCAGCTGTTCACGATGCCGGGTTTTGTATGGGCATACTTAATTCTGATTCTATTCTGATCATTGGTTATGAGAACGATCTTCCAAATGTTCGGATCACTCATTATGGAGTGAGGTGATTTTCATTTTCATGTAGTTATGTTGTGCAATACAACTTCCCATTTTTGGTATCTTTCGTGGTTACTATTTAATATACCATTATTTATTTAGTTACATTTCGAAGGATGGCTGGGATATACAAGGTGGACTGCCGCTTGGGTATTCTATGGCACCAGAACAATTTTTAAGAGAATCCGCAACTGAAAGATCGACGTTCAAAACGGATGTGTGGGCACTCGGCGTAGTGTTACTGGAAATGGCCACGGTATATGGGTTATGAGTCAGTTTTACTCATAGATTGGATATACAGGGTGGAATCTTTATTCCATTAATCCGTAGGCTGTATTGTAGCTTCTTCAACAAAAATGTGTTGTACATATTTTTAGGGTGTTTTGTTGCGGAAAATTTGGTCTGTAAAGCAGTATATGAATATATTGAAGTGTAGTATGTCGAGAGGTCAGTGTCCGTTGGTTACCTCCTAACTAAATTCTTGGCCAGAAGATTCAGAAAGTCTGCGCCTCATTTTTCGCATTGAACAGGGATGTTTTGTTTGTTTTTACAGCTGCGAGAGGGTCACTGCTAGATCCAATTCTGAATGCATTACGAGCCGCATCGTATTCTGCGAGAAATTTGGAACTGAATGGAGAGCTCAGTGGCATTATGGAGCGATGTTTTTCGTTATTGCCGTCAGATCGTCCTACACCTTACGAGCTGCTCTCTTTAACTAATCACTCGCAGTTACGAGATGCCAACTTGTTCGAATCCGTGGAGATTCTAAATGGTGAACATAAATTTTAACGAGTACCTAGAGGCTTGTCGCTCATAGGTATTTTTTCAGATCGAATCCTGTCGAACAATAGTTGTGACTGGATTCTTCGTGAAATGACCGTGCAAGATGCTTTTTTTCTTTGGAGGCTTTGTGGTTCCGGTGTTGAAGCAATACTAGTGCGAAATAATGTGATCACTCTCCGTTATCCCGTGCTTACCAATCCATGGTCGGACAGTTTTTCTCTTTTAATTTCATCGTAGCTGTTGAACTGTGTTTAAATTGAATTTATTTGCAAATAAAAAGTTTCAGTATCGTAGTGGAAGATCTTCAGATGTTTGGTAATGACGAAGCGCGGAGGTTTTATGTGAAACCTGAAGTAGTGTTACTTCCAGATAAAAATATACGCGAGGTAGTTTCCTTCCGCATTTCATGGATTATCATGCTTTTCGAGTTCTTCTTGCAGAAATTGGGCTCAATTTCGACAGCAAATGTTTTTCTGCAATCACTTCTTGTTTCATCCGACTCCAACTACACTCAAAACGAAAATTTATCTGTGATTGTTAAGGAAAAGGATATGGTGTATCAGGTTCGTCACTTGCTTAAGCAGAGCAGTAATATATAGAAATGATGTCATATTTAGGCGTCACGAATGCGGTTAATAGGTCACCTACTGGCCTCGCGCTTTTATAAGATTAAGGAACTGCTACAGTCGGTTGCTCGGGATGTCCCACCGATGAGAAGGGCAGATGGTAGTCGTCAATGAATCCTACGTAATTTTGATATAAACTTCTACTCCACATGGCCAAAATCACAACGTTACCAAAAGCTTCAGCTGTTCCGTTAATGGTTCCGGCATTTTTCGTGAATCGTTTTATAAATTTAGTTATGGGTGGCTCAGTGTTTTTCTTTTCGAAACTCTTGCTTTAAACTGACTAATGGAATGTGTTATTCTCAGTAACTACTGGCTGCTTATGTTCAACCTTGCATTATTCTTTCTTTCGCACTTCTGATAAGAAATGATTAGGACCTTAGTGATGAGTTGAGATATTCGTTACAAATTCCATCAGTGTACAGGTGTTCTCTATCTGCCTAGATAATCATAAACAAGAAGAGAATTATCAATTCGGGCTCTTTTCTTTGTTATCAGCGTTTTTCTGCTAGTGTGGTGCGTTTTGTTGGATGTGCGGTCAAGTGACGAGTGGAACTTCTTTCACTGTAATACCTTAGCGGTCCATACGAGCGATCGGCAGCTGGACGTGGACATTCCACGTTGTCATCAGGTTCACTTCAAATCGTTGTGTAACCAGCTGGTTGTGTTGCTGTTTATTTTTTCGCTGTTGGTTTTTGTAGTACGAAGAGCTGATGACGTCACCGGCCGCACACTACTCTTTGCGACGTCTTCTGAAGGCATGGCTTCTAAGTCATCCTCAGTACGTCTACTGGCAAGGATGCGACAGTCTGGCAGCACCATTCCTCTTGCTGTACTTCAATCGACTTCGTATGCTTTTATGGTTCTGTGATGTTGCAGTTTCCAACCCGCAAATGGCACACTAATTATTGTTTCAGCTACCGCTCTCGCTTGTCTCACAGCTTTTATCAGAAAATATCTCAACAATTTCTTTCTCAAGGATAATTCAGCTGTGATACAAGGTAAGTCACCACACTTTCTTTCGCAGATCCTAACAAAGGTCGGAAACGCTTTCTTTTGTAGAGCAGCTCGCTGTGTTCAATCATCTGCTGGCTTTTGTGGATGCAAAATTGTTCACACGCTTGGTGTCGATGGAGTTTTATCCGGAATTATTTGCTATTCCATGGTTCCTAACCTGTTTCGCTCATGTACTGCCCATCTATAAATTATTTCATGTGTGGGACCAATTACTTCAAAGGGATTCGTCTTTTCCTTTGTTTATAGGTTCGTACTAGATATTCTTCTTTGTTCTTTTTGGAAAAACAATTAGTGTATAGCTGTTCAGCAATGGATTTTTTTTCTGCGTTGTAAATTTACAAGTTCAGTTTTGATTTCTTTAATATCAGGTCTGGCTATTCTGCGCCAGCTTCGTCAAACTCTTATTGAGTCGTCTTTTAATGATGCGATATTGCTGTTTTCAGATCTTCCTGGTAAGGGTCCGATTCCTATCAGAATTATTGCTTCAATTCTTTTGCAGATTTTTTTGAGTTTGAAAATATATAGATCTTTCGATGGAGGTGGTTGTTGCGGATTCCATTGCATACTACGATCGCGTTCCACCCAGCTGTGCCTTCCGATCTCACGCATTCTCCAATGGTATGTCCATCAGAATTTCATTAGAGACAGCTATTTTAGATTCGCTAAGCTATCACTCTTTGTCAAATTGTATTTCAACGACGTTCGCGAGTGTACAAGTCACATGATTCGTACATGACGAGGTATTTTAACGTTTAAACTTCAAACAAAAATCTGTCGCTTCGTGTAGTGAACGGCATTATTCATAGAAACTGCTTCGATTTCCGGATGTTTGCTAACAACGTTGCTTGTCCGTGAAACCAGGAATTTTTCGGGCTCACAAATAGGTTTTTTCACTTTGTATTCGTGACTTCCCTTGATTTGGTCCAGCAGTGGGCGTTGTGTTCTCGAACCATTCGTTTACGGGTGGGTGTGGTTGCAACGTTTGCGCTGAAAATTCACCGGTTTGAATTTCTTGAAGACTCAAACTAAAACATTCAGAACGGAAATGTTTATGAGATATTGTACTTTTGGAGGCTTGGGTTAAATTTTCCTGTAATTGTAAAGCTCTCGAATCTGGAAGCCATATTTCTTTCTTGGTTTTCTATATCTATTCTGGAATAAAGTGGTTGAAGTGTTTACCCGTGTTTTCAACGTTTTTCCTCCAAGACTTTATTCGATATTGACATTTAAGCGGAGTGAGCAAAATTGTACCTGCCTTTTCAACAAAACGGCCACTTCTTGTTGGAGTCCAGAATAAAAATTATGAAATGGTGTGACATGTTGCTCGATATTGTTTAGTTTCTCAGTTTTTTGGACAACATTTGTAATTATCGATAGAGAGCTGTTTTACTTGCGCTGGGATTAAGTGACATTAGTGCTTTTTTAGTCAAAGAAGTTTTTCTGACAAAATTTTTTATGGGAGATTCGCTTCATAGTTTGCTCCGGGGAAAGGGTTTAATGTCCACTTAGTGTGTCACTCTTTGTTAAATTTGTGAACCATTAGCATTTAAGATTGTGGATAGAGTATCTGCTTCAGAAATCTATTCTAGCCATGTGTTCGGTTTCTTTATACTCTATCATTTTTCCTTTTACGAAAAGTAATATGCAATCGCAACTTATACGAATTTTTAGTTTTCAAAATTCCACACTTTGGTAAATTTATTGTTTATAGTCGTTCTAGACTCCCACCTACCGCCTCCTCGAGGGCTACCGTGCAGTCTTCAGAATATGGCCGCAGAGCTGAAGAAATGGCAGTGTCCCCGACTCTCACGAGAAGAATTCGCTTGGAGGGTCATCGATGAATTGATTCTGGTCATCGATATCCGTTCGCAAATCGAGTGTGTTTTAATTTTAAATTTTTCCACAATACTGGAGACATTTTCGGTGTATGCATATATATATCCATATATTTGCATATGTTTTTATGCGATTTTCTGATGCCTTTCCTTCAAGATTTGGGAGAGGTTGCGTTTTACGATCAATCAATTATCCCAACGTTAACGACAGTTCACTCCTAAACATTGCTGAACCGATGAGAACTGCACAGAGAAATCAGCATCCAATTTGCATTGTTGGTGGAAAAGACATGGATATAACACGAAAGGTTGGCGTTCTTATACGGTATAATGATGAAAGACGTTGACCAATTCCACAGGAGTGCGTCATTGTACTTTTTCCTTTTAACCATTGTAGAGTGATTGGACGAATAATTGGCTTGTAAAATGACTTTCGGTGGCCTACTCATCTATAGAAGCAGTGTTTTCATCCGCAAAGAGTAGTCCGATGCCCCCCGTATTTGCAGACACCGGAGAGATCAGATACTTTCATTGCCTAAGACGGGTGTTAAGCCAACAACCCTGTGTGCGTTGCTGTGGCACTGCTCCAACCACTGCGCTATATTTGTCTATTTTTATATAGTACAATCACATAATCATTCACATTCCTCTCGACGGTTTACGGCCTCATCGTGGCTGGAAGGTGTTCCTGGGTGTCGAGCTACGATGTACACTGAGGGCATTCATCCACCTGGCAGAGCTCCCAAGCTAAGAATGAGTCCGGCGTTTCTGTTACGAAACCCAGGTAAGAGTAAACCAATACCCAGGTCCGTCACCGTTCTGGAACCAAACTAGTCGCATGGTGGCAAATCTCCGTCTGATTCACAAGGGTGGCGACTGCCTGTGGTGGTGACGGCCTGGGGAAGACTTTGGCCTGGCTGATCTCGGGATTTCAAGCAACCACATTGGCTAAACCGTGAGAGTGAGAGTAAACGAAAATGAAGATTGTGCTGGGGTCCGTACAACCTGTGGAGACGGGCCATCCAAGTATTTAAGCATAATCATACTGGGTTATAAAACTCGGTGGTAATTGTTATGATGCTACTTCATGAAATGCTTTCTATTCAGTTTTCTGGTCAATTGGTGAATTTCGGCATTGACGGTGTTTGTGTAGTAGATGGCGGTTTCGAGGGGATTCGGCATAATACTACACTTATTCACATACCTCACTGAGTGATCCGTCTTGAAGACTCTTTAATAGTCTCATAATTAATGATCTAATGAGTGCTGGAGATCCAATGAATGTTGTATTTTATTCTCCTGAATAATAAAAGTTTTGGCGTGTGATATTCTCAATCTCAATATAGTCTCACTTAGCACATGCATAACATTTCCAGTTGTCGCTAGAGTAGTTTCGGTTTTTATTCCTCAACTTTAGTTACGCAATCTTAGCAAAAAGTGGACTTTAACACAATCCAAAGCACTTGATTTTCCACGTTTTTATCATCGAACTATAAGTTTGTGGTAATGAAGTACTGACCTGTTACTCATTCGCGACTACTGGTTTTTTGCCTTTGTCACTAGTTAGATGGATTATGTTATCTTTTTGCTCGCAGAATAAATGCTTGTTTAAGTCAATTTATGAACGCTTATTTGAAGGAATGGAAGGAACGATTATAACTGAGGTGAATTAAACTCACATTCACGACCGTGTACATTGATGTCGTTGAGTACATGAAGGTAAATTTAATAATATGCATTGATTTTAGTGCATATTTTTCGCTGTCACTTCTTTCACATAATGGGGTTTTTTGGGACTTTGTATCTTTTAGACAACTTATTCGACTTATGTTATAAGCGGAGCATTCTTTGAAAGGCTACTCTACGCTTCATGTTTTATAAGACTTTTTTTTCGTACGAGTTCATTCCTCCAGAACATAGAGTGTTTGCGGTGAAGGAAGTTGTTAACCACTTCAAGGCTGCGTGTATTATTTGAGCGGTACCTGTGAAGTCTATATCTATCCATCGCCTGAACCTTGCTAATCTAGTGGGTCTTGCTCGTTCGAATGACCCGATCAGTAGCGCATTTCTCATCTAGATTTTGTTTTAAGAAGTCTGACTGTGGAAACGGTGGTCTTTCTGTTGTGGTCGGTTGGGACAACTGACAAGTTCAACCCACCTGTTTTTTGACATGTTGGTGTATTAGGCGGCGTTCCTGATGTTGGATCGTCGGCTTGGGTTAGCTTTCAGGGTGGCGGTTTTACATGTATTATAACTTATGCTCCTAATATCACTATCTCAAGATCTTGTTCAATGTGCGTTCAGTGACTCCGTTGAGGTAAGCAGGTGTCGAAGGGCAGAGTGCGGAACTCGGATTTCTTCGTCTTTTCCACTACTTTCTTCTACTCTTATGAGGTATCCAATCTACTTACCTCTTTCGGTTCGGCTTTGAAGTGACGCCGTTTATCATGGTGACTTTCTGTTCTTGATATAACTGGAGCGTTCCAGAGTTTCTTTCATTGTACATAATTCATCAAGGTTTCATCAAGAATAAATCCGTTTCTCATGAAGATTTCATTCTTTGGACTCAGGTTTTGACCAATCTTTGCACCTAAATCTTAAGAATTGGACGGTTTCCGTTCTGCGCGATGTTTCACGTTATATGAATTGTGCAATCAGCTATGCCAAGATGACATGTCTAACTATTATTGGCACTCTCCCATGTCCCTTCGAGTTCTCCCATTTTTCCAGTCCAATGTTTGTTTGTCTTAACTTTTGCATGAAGTTCCTAGTAGTCTAAAATTTTTATTCACTCCATGTTATGACAAACGAGAATTAGCCGTGTATCGACTCAATTTTTCCGTCTTTCCAGCAATGCTTGGTTCCAAATTATCAGCATTGAAGGGATGATTGTTTTGGTTCTTGCTTGTCGTTTTTGTTTTAGAGCTCAGGACTCGAGATAGAACCAGCGACCTTGTTCATCGCACGTCTGCCTCTATTAAAAATTCACTAGTTCGTTATATGAAAATTGTGTTTCCCAATACAATGGATATTTCCTCATCGTCAACTTTTCTCGAAACATTGAATGGAAGTGTAAAAAAGAATGGAAACATACATTTTTTTGCGGGCCATTTATTCGTGCTGTTATAACATGTTTTTTTGGATGTACTTTCCTTGCTGTCCTTTATTTGTCTCCTTATATTTTGGTTGCGACACATTGCGAATAAGGCTACGTTTTCATTCATTTTCTTTCCTCCCAGCATTCATTTGCCAGTCTTCGGATTCAATGGTAGGTTGTGCGCTGCTTGAGAATTTCCCTCTCTTACGTGGCTGTCATGTCGCATTTATTTTGTCTGTCATTTCGAAAGTACCGTAAGAGAATTTTTACAGGTCTTCACCACAGGCAGTCACCATCTCTTTGTTCGGCGAAATATTTCCTGCCTTACCATTCGGAGTCGTTCTGAACAACAACAATTCCTACCAGGGCGATTATGCGAGTAGATAAACGATCGCTCGATGTTGATGTAGCAGTCCTAATTCGGTTGCTAAGCAATTGCAGTTACAATGATAGGATAACTTACACCGTATTTCTTCGCAACGTGGAAGTTTTTATGATTCGACTGTGACGAGTGTTCCGTCGAATGATGTCATATATTGTTGCGAACAAAGCAATCACTGTTGTTTTGTGAGAATGCCAATGCCAAGGAACCAATTCACCTTCCCATACGCAACGACCGGCCATGATCACTGGTGAAGAGCTGTAAACGTCCCCATTTGGCGAACTTGGAATCACAGGGTTTTGTTCGCCTAAGGCTTTAATTTTGCTTGTCGGATGGTGTTCTGTGCTCCTAATCATCTTTAAATTTTTTGTACATTCGATTTTGTCATTCAACGTAAGGTAATTATTTATTCACAGCTGTTTTTATGAGGTTTTCCATCAAACATCACGCGTAAATTCTCTATTCATCGTACGATTTTGGGTGGCAGTCTTTTTCTGACTCTCCTTGCTGTTTGTTTTCTCTGCCTTCTTTTTCGTTGTCATGAATTGGATTGAATCCAACACTAAAAAGGCTGGGTGAGAATTAATGTATCCAACTGAGCTTTTTCTTCTATACCACGTGCATGCTCGTACGGCACATCGGCGAATTTCTTTCGCCTTTTCAATTGGAAGCTTCAACTCTGCTGAAAATTCGAAATCTTTAAAAATTCGGTGTCTCGATTATTAGCATTCCGAATCAACTATCAAGGATTTCTGACATACGCTTCTCAGAAACGACGACTGTGGACCATCGGCTGGGGTCAACCGCTAAGAGGAGCACGAAGGCTTCAGAATGTTAGCCCGATAGCATTCTTTTATCGACCTAGTGTTAGCTTGTCAGTGAAGGAGCACACACCCTTTTAGACTGTTCAACCTACACGAGAGCGGTACAGGTCTTTCCTCGCGATGTGGCATTTCGTAGTCGAACCTTCTGGTATGGAGCCACTGGATCAGAACCCTACTTGGCTGAACCCCTTTTATACAAGGTGGCTGTTGCTGACTGCCCACCGGTAGTGATATGTGTTCTG